GCGCAGAGCCGGCCCGCGCGGCCCGCGCCATCCCTACTTTCTCCGCGGCAGACTGGGGGTGACTGGACGGGGGCTGCGGGCGAAGAGGTCGGTACGAAGAGAGCTCTGGGGGACCCTCGGACCCGGCGGGCGGGGGGGAGCCCGCGTTTGCCCCGGGCAGCGGGAACACAGGGACCGCCTAGGGGATCGGTTTGGACAAAAACTTGGGAGCCGGGGACCCTCGGTTTGCCTCTTGTGCCTGTGAGGTCGGAGCCAGCCTCTCGCGCCTCCCAGCTTTGCACTTTCGCATCTACCCCGCGCCAAGGGAAACAGTAGCTATCTCGCGGGTCCACTGGAGCAAGAAGTAGGAAAATCGTGAGAGTAAGCCTCCATGTAAGTCCTGCGCGGCACCAGCTCAGTGTCTGACTTGAAGCGATTTCACGCAGTCCGTGGAAGTGGGCACTGTTGTGCTTGCTGAGGCCTTACAGAAGTAAAAGCGTAGTGCCTGGCGTACAGAACAAGACACATTGCTTTAAATTTACACCTCACATTTTACCTAAAGCACAATGAAGTTTGCAATGAAAATCTAATAAAACTATGTAAAAAGAAATTAAAGATATAAAGCCATATATTGTGAGGAAGTAATTGCAACAAAAATATAGACCAATATATGGGCCTAGAAATATAATATCTAGGATATGTACATATCCTAATATATGTATATTATATACATGGTATATAATATGCCAATTCATAATATATAATTATATGTTGATATATAATACTGTAAGATATATATGGGGTACACAGGATGTTATACACACACACCCATAATAGGTCAGTTCAGAATTCAGAACCTCCCAGCTAGGGTGTGTCTCTGAACTGCCACTGATGGATTACAGATATTCCTTAGCTGCCCATTCGCTGAAGCCCCAAGCCTCTGGCCATACTGCAGCCTTTCAAAGAAATAATAATAAAATAAACCTCAGTGTGCCATAAGATTATTACGATATTCTGCTTGTGTCTTGATGAGATAAAGGTGCAGAAGCAGCTTTGAGCTTCTTTATAGCCAATGCCAAAAAGGAAAGAAAGTGGCGTTTTCTAATGCCTTGGCTATCTGAATGGTAGCAGAGATAGGTGCAATGCAGGCCCTTGGTTTTGCTGCTGATGGGTTTCTTCCCGTTAGAAAATCTGTCCTTTCTAGTCTCCTCTCGAACCTTCCCCCTCTTCCAGTGCTCCTTCCAATTCACTTTTAGTGCAGCCCAGAAACTTTCTTCCTTTCCATTCCTGGTAGATCTCACCCTGCTCTTGCCTTTTGTGTGGCTCAAGCAGCACCTCAGAGAGAAGAGGAAGGGCTTCTTTCCCTTGCTCTTTTTTTTATGATTTAAAAAAATAAAATAAAAAGGTTTATTTGAGAATTACACCACACTATTTAATGTAGCATATGCCACTAACTGAGCCTTCATTCTTGGGCTCCTCACTGCTCCAAAGGGTCCGTCAAAGCTCAGTTTCTCAGACTCACAATTCGACTCTGCTCAGAAGTAAAATACCGCTCAGACTTGCCCTCAGCAGAAATTAAGCCAACCTTCAAATTTCTGACAGGCACATGCTGTTCTTTTCTGTGGTTTCAGCTACCATGCTTTGATGCTTTGGATGGATGCTCTCACAGATTTTTTAAGTGGGTGGCATTGGCAGGTTTTGCTTAATTTGGACCTAGCTATTAGGTTGTTGTCAGGACTGCCCTTTGGAGCCTCTAGCTCCAGTCAACCCATTCTTCTCCTGCTTTGGTTCCTCCATCCACCCAAGGATATTTTTTCCATTGTTTTCTCAGAGAGAGTGGAAGGGAGAGAGAGAGAGAAACATTGATGTGAGGCACATGGATTAGTTGCCTCCCACACCGGGATCAAGCCTGCAACCGAGATGCGTGCCCTTGGCTGGGATTGAACCCTTCAGTCTGTGGGCCGACGCTCTAACCACTGAGCCAAACTGGCCAGGGCTATCGCTAAGCCTGTTAGGATATTCCCCATAAAGTCCTGTGCAGCAAACCTGGAAGCCGCGGCTTCAGCCTGGTTCGCCCAGGCTCTCCCCTCTTCCTCGCAGCACTTTGAAGAGAAGCCACCAGCGTTTCTGCCTTTCCAACCCATGCAGCCACCAGGACAAAAGTTTGTGCCCAATACACAAATGCAACCATCTCAGGACAAATGGTCAGTTAAATCTCATCAGTTGTCCACTCCATGTCACAGAGGATGCTGAAAACATAGGCACAAGCTGTTGGGCCACCAAAAACAGAACCACCACTTAATGAAGCCAAATAAAATTAAACCCTATTTAGTCTTGACTGAAGTGGTATCATTTATTGAATTGGCAAACATGCACCTTTAAACACTTTTAATTTAAACAAAATTGATTTAACAGCTTGCTTGATGAATAGGTCTTTTAGGGTACAGATCCAATCTTCTAGAGTTTTCCCCCCACAGTGCCAAGCATTATAACTTGCATGTAATGGGTGTTCAAAAGTTACTTGTGGGTTCAATGTACATCTTAAAAATATTGGCTCTAAATTGAAGCTAAAAAATTTGAATTTTTTTTTTGAGCATTGGTTATGTAATCTAGGTCCACCTATCCCCTGGAATGGTTTTGCATAAAAGGGGGGATTTCTTTCTTATGGTATGAGGAATTTGGCCACACTATTTCTTGTGCTTCTGCATTTGATTTTGACTTCCTGTGCCTTATTTTTATCTTGGCAAGATCTTTCTGACAGGGTTAGGGTACAGGAATCCTTTCTTCTCTACCTATCCCAGAGATGAAATCACTTTTCTGAGAGTACAACAACCAATTCTATGGATGTTTGATATGATCTAAAAGTTATTTGGTACCAATTCACCAAAAGGCTCTGGATACTGCCCCAACCCAAAAAACAAAACATGTAGCTGGCAAAGCAGAAAACTCTCTGCCCACATGTTTTAATAGTACTGCCCACCTGTTTCTGCATTAACCTATGACATAATCTATTTTTATGTGTGACTTTCATGTTCATGGTTGTTCCTTTCCAAAATTAAGTGAGAGTGTCTTAGCATCTATCTAACCAAAACAATTATTCCTGGATATCAAAGATGAGAAGTGTTGCAATGTCATGCAACTGTAACACATTAACACTCAGAGAGAATAGATAACCTAATCCCTGGTTGTAAAAATGAAGACTCATCCTCAGAAAAGTCAAGACTAGCGAGGGTTAAATAGCAAGTTACAGCCAATCTGAGAGCAAAACCTGGTCAGTGTCATTTCAAGATAGGTGCCTCTCCATCAGAAGAGGGATGGAGCATTGAAGTTGCATTTATAGTACAGTTTACAGAAGACTCAGAAGACATTATTTATCCATGCCAAAAGGGAAGGCTGATGAAGAATATAACACAGATGCTGGCACATATTTGGTTTTAAATGCTTTCTCTATATTTTTTATCCATCTGGGTCACATATGTGTGTGCTTCTACTGATATTGGAACTCTGGTCAACCTCTTTAAAATATTTAAAGCATATAAAATCATTTCCATTAAAAGGCATAGCCTTGCCTCTAAGGCAGAAAAAATGCTCACCTCACTTGTCAAAGGGCTTGTTGCAAAGATCAAAGCCTTATAAGAAGGTTTAAAAAACCCAGAAGGCACAATGTAAAATGCAAAGTGTTTGTATTAGTACTACTAAAACATGTGGGCAGGGAGTTTTCTGCTTAGTTTGGAACTGAACTTGAAATTTACACCTAGAACAATACAATAAATAATAAATGCTCTTGAATGAATTAATGACAATTTTTTTAAAATCAGAATTATTATAACCTAGTGTTGCCTTACAGGGATCACATTTTGAAAATCTCTCCATACATTAAAAAATAAATGACAAGAGTTAAATGTACAGTGTATTTTAAATGTTTACATTGAACAAATTAAGACCTTTAATACCCACAAACATAAAATAATCTTTATTATTTGCAGATAATATCAACAGTCTAAAGGTTGGTCCTTTGTAAGTATGAGGCCTAAGGTTAAAGATATTTCCATTTTCTCCCCCACGTCTGAGGTTCTGACTACTCTATTAGGCAAATGTTTATTTTATTTTTATGTCACATTCAGGGCATAGCTATTCCTTGAGAACACTTTTCAGATGTTATGCACTAGACAGGATTAATCATAATCCTAGAAATGACCACAGACATGATTGAGCTTACCAGCCCTCCAATTCCAAACTGGCTCGTAAATAAATCAGCAGTTCTCTGCCTCTCCCCAGAGGAAAGAACTGGAGAAAGCCTCCTTCTGAGAATGTTTGGAAGCAAAGCCAAGAGTGCCCTCTTATGGCGAATAAAAAAAATGACTTGGTTCTCAGTTGTGACTCCATCTGGTGGCTTTCCCATGTAAATACAGTATCTTGGAGTTCCAAGTTGGCAAATATTAACTAGCCTTTTCCTTGCCGCGGAGGTCTGCGGACATCTTTGTGATCTGCTCAATAGAACATACATTAAACGCAGTTGATAAGCACAGTCAGAGCTCCTACAAACTTGTTACTGAACTTCTTGAGGCACAAGCGCCAACCTTGTTCTATACTCTCAGCCAAGGATGAAACAAAACTACATTAACACAGCCCAAGTCATAAAGATATGTATTTTTTAAGTCTATAAAGAGCCTATGCAGCTTTGTCAAGAGCAAGAGGCCACCAACAAAGGCAAGTGTACAATGTAGCCCAACTGCGACAAGAATGGCTGTGCAGCATTCCCACCTCTAGACCCACACACTGAAGAAAAATCCTGAGATTTGGAAAGGAGGTGAAAGAAAAACACTCCAATAAAAGGTAGGCGCTATAGAATGAAGCCCCTGCTCGTTTCTGTGGTCCGGGGGGTTGGCACTTCCCATCACTGGTTTTCAAGGTCATCTATGGGAAGCTCCATGGGCACAACCAAAGCAAGAGAAACCAAGCCACCTGTGGCAGTGAAGCCATTCTCCAGTGAGCTCTCTCCCGCTACTGGTGTAAACCAACAAACAAAAACTCCTACTCACTGGCCCTTTCTTTCTAGCCCTAGCAAAGAATCTTGTACCTGGTTGACCAAACCAGTTTGCCTTGGTCTAAGGGGATGTATATCCTTTGCATCTAGTACAGTTTTACTTTCTGTGGTTGACGTGAAAAAAAAACAGATTCCACCAAATGTGCAGTCCCAGGTGTTACCTGTGCATCTAATTTTACTCAGCTAAATGACAAAGTCCACGTTTTTCACACATTTTGTCAGTCCACACACATTTACTGATTCATTATATTTGAAGCTGTATGTTATGTTTGGGGTAAGATATGTATCTTCTGCCGTCAAGTTCACAGAGTTGTAGGAGAGATCACAGTAGACCCCCAGATCTAGGTTTGGGGGGCCCTGTAGCATGACTCATCTCTGCCAGCTTCGGCCGTGTCATTTATTCATGGAGGGAGTTGGATGGACAGTCCTTGAATCCATGGTCCTGCCTGTAACAGGCCACTACCTGCAGATGGGGTTAATCACTGCTTAACCCCACTCAGCCTCACTCTGGGACCCTAAGGGTGACAGTGAAGGCCAGTGTTTCCAAACTGTCCCAAATGATCTTTAGGCTTGAGACTACTCTCTGCTCCCCACTGGAGAGGCTGATCCATGAGGTATAAAAGGAGTAAGGAAGAGGGTGGGAAGATGGGAAAGAAAAGCCTAAGTCTTACCAAAAGAGAAAGGGAAGTAGAGAATGGCTATTAAATAAAGACAGGCACACACACACACAATCTGTCAAGTCTATGAGGCTCACCGAGTTTTATTGAAAAGTTTAAATGAGATTTTTTATATATTACAAAGTAGTAGTATGCTGTCTCCACATATTAGCCAATGCCAAGTACTGTTTATTATTGCAGCTGAAGTAACTGTATCAGAACCACGTATCAATGTTATTCTGTCCACCTGACAGTACTGAAAGGAAACAAGGCTATAAGAAAAGCAAGTGAACACGGGCTTCCTGACACAGGAACGCAAATCAGGAGTAAAACATGTACACATACAAAACTAAAAAACAAAGCGATTCCCTGAGCTGCAATCTGAAAGCGTTCATAGTCACATTTCTCTTGTGTGGAAATGAATTAGGACACTCCTCATGGGCAGCCTCAAGGCTTCTGCCTCACATGTCTCATTGCTGAGCTAGAGCAGCTGGTTAAGAGAGTACATTAATTTCAGGAAAAACAGTGGTATCACCTCTCCACAGGACCTTTCTTTTCAAACAAGTGGGTTTATGACCTGCCTCACAGTGAAGAGTTCATGAATATGAATGGCTGCATTATCAGTCTTCAAGTATTTAAAATACAGTTGTTTTTTAATGAGCGGAATTTATTTCTGAGGACTCCAGAAAATTATTTTGCTTCATGTGAGCAATTTAAACACTTGCTGATAGATTTGATAAAATTCATTATAGAATCTTTATAACTAAAACAACCGGTGTGTCACTGGATTGGACTTGGCACTTAGTGCGTGAGAACATGAATAAGTGCCAGTGTTGTTTACATCCCTAAATGCAGGGCCATTCCCCTGGAGAGCCTTTTAAGGCCAAGAGATGAGAACAGGGTACTTATATACTGAGCTGTCCTCAAGTCAGTGTCAGATTATTTACCAATGAACAACACAGTTTGAAAATTCCAACATAGATGTCAATGTGTCCTGCATGGGCGTAAAAAAAGCAATACAGTATATTTTAAATTTTATGGATAATCAGAATGGTTATGACCTTTCACAAGTCAATGATATTTTTAGAAGACTTAAACTTCCCTACGGTTAAGACACGAGCTGCACATTTGGCCATGATTAAACAAACAAAAAAGTGAGTGCATTTCTAACCCTAACTGGAGAAATGGGCATCTTCAACATCATAATTTTCTTGAATATAAAAATACAAAAGGCCTAGGAAAGAAAAATAAGTATTTTAGAGAAATGAAGTCAACATATTTTGAACATGATTCCATCATTGATTTGATGGTAGATTTCTCCATCTGGCTTTCACAGGTACTTCTTCATTAGATTCACCATTTGATCATAGAGCCGCCAAGGGGCATCCAAGCCCCAGATGAAGTCGAGATGCTCCCAATCCGGAATGCACTCGTCATACACCAGGTTGGTGATCTGGGTCAGTAGGATGCTGACGTCATTGACATCCGCGAGCCAGTCCTGACCGCCGCTCCACAGAGCAGTAGGCACGTGCATGTCCTTCACATTGTAAGCGGGAGGGTTAGTCTGTAAGAAAAACCCAGAGAGAGCTTTGTCGTGGTTGTTTTAATTCACAAAAACAGTCTACAATCTCCATTAAACACCGATTAATTCATTGAGAATAAAAGGCTAAATCTTGGAAATCACTGTTTACTTTTCAAGTCGCTATTACCAGAACAAAAAGAAACCTAACCCACAGAGAAAGAACAGTTACTATAGTAACAGGCTGGGCATGGTAACAAGTGTTTTAATCCCCTGGGAGGAAGGTGTACTCCCAGGTAGTCGATTCAAAGCAACAGAACCAAGTAGTTGGAAAGGGGCTTTGGAGTCCATACCCTCCTACTTTCCCTCCCTCTGGGGTACAACACAAGTCACTGAAGTTCTCTAAGCCTCAGTTTCCTTGTCTTTAATCATCACAGGGAAGTTGTGAGAATCAAATAAGTAAAATATGGTGAAGTGCCTTACACTTTAAAGTATTTACACTCAAAAATGATAAATTTATGGTATATGAGAGGAAAGGCTTAGAGAGTGTAATTTGGCCAAGAATTCCAGCTACCAGGTAACAGTCCTAGGCTTGTCTGACCTTGAAGTCTGTGTTCTTGATCATGATGAGTCATATATAACAGTAATAGTGACAGCTGTTATACAGGGTCATGGAAGTAACAAAGAGGGAAGGCCCAGTCGACAAAGCCAACCACATAGCTTGGGTTGTTCTGGAACTGAAACACTATCTAGTCAACTCTCCCAAATATTTCCACAGCCCCTGAGCCCAGCCAGAATCCTAATAATGGCTGGCTTCCTTGATGCATTTTGAGAGCCCATTAATTCTAAAGACTTTGAAGACATTACCTGGTTGTAATGAAAATAATTCTTGGCACTGCTTCCCCAGTCAAAGGCTTGAAACTTTTTCAACTTGTAAGTCTAAAAAGAAGATAATTTGGGGGGGGGAAAGTTATCTGGCACAGATGTTTGAGATAACATCACAGGTTCCATGAGTTAGCCAAGTCCCCAGAAATCAATTTTATACCAATACCCAGATTTACTCTTCATTTCCAAACTGTAATTTAAGATAAATGACATTATTTTACTCTCCTTTACTACGTGACTCAATTTCTCCGTATATGACTGGAAAGTAGCTACTGCATGAGACAATAAAGCAGCTATACACACAATGTGAATTATACAGGGTGGAGCAAAAGCAGGTTTACAGTTGTTCATATGCAAAATAATATAATAATAAATAATACAAGAATAAACTCTGCTTATTCACAACTACAAATCTACTTTTGCCCCACACTGTACTAGATCAATGGTTATACTCATTGGATAAACTTTATACTGACATTTTTTACTGAAATATGAACCTTAAACTTTTCAAAGAGGTAACTATCTTATTTGGGGAAGATATATATATTACATACAACAAATAGATTAATATATATGTGTATTAATAGGTATTTATATGGATTAATAACGTATTATAATATAAAAATTATATATCACATATTTATATGGATTAATAGAATCATTGTCTATTTATATATGGAGTAAGATATTTACATATGCATATATAATCTCCATAGTTTCTATATATCCACTCTACTTGACTAGTTATATTATTTAATATTTTAATAATTTTTTTTGTTTTTTTAAATATATCTTTATTGATTTCAGAGAAAGGAAGGGAGAGGGAGAGACAGAAACATCAGTGATGAAAGAGTCATTGATCAGCTGCCTCCTGCAAGCCCTCTACTGGGGATCGAGCCCACAACCCGGGCATGTGCCCTCACTGGGAATCGAACTGAGATCTCCTGGATCCTAGGTCAATGCTCAACTGCTGAGCCATGCCTGGCTGGGCTTAATGATTTTATTAATTTAACACTTCTTGAGTACCAGTATCAGTATAATCAAATTGTACTGCACACCAGCACAATTCTGACTAGTTGAGGATACTAGAGTCATGAAATAATACTGTATATAAAGTTTAAATTATGCATAGATAGTATGATGTAAAAGTATTAACAAAAAGTCATTTATTTTTAAAATTTTTAATGATACAAATTCATACCTCCTCTATATCCCCAAGTTAGAAATATGTCAAGAATTAAATCCAAAATCGGCAAGTCAAATGAACTGTTCAAGTTTTGGCCAGAGGGTGGCATCTGGTAAAGAGGAAAAACCTAAACATTCTTTGTCAGAGCTGCTTTTGATTTATGTGAGGTTTCAGTTCTTATCAACTGAATAAAACTCTAATGTCTGATGTAATAAAAGACAGTGTGAGATTAGAAACTACGGGGAATTTCTAGAGGAGAAATGTTAGCGTCTGCTTCTGCCCATTGCAAAGGGCAGATTTTAAATACCTGCAGCATATTTAACAAGAACAAAATATGGATTTACAGCACCTGCTAGTGTATCTGTGCTGTAGCTCTAGCTGAAAGTGAAAAGTACTGATTGATGCAAGCTGTTCTGTCACGGTAGACAGTATATCACTTTCTCACACATGTCATTCAGCATTTATATAAAGACCCAGAGTGAGTATGGGATCCACAGGAAAAACTTGCCTAGGGCTCAGAATAAATTTCTAAACTTGACTTTTGTGCTCAGTGTCATAGCCACTTGCAAGGGGATCTCAGAAGGAAGGAAATGTGAAGATGATTATAGTAACAAAAACACAGAAATAAGCTAAAGTCCAGTAATAGATATTTCGTTAAATGCATCATGGTACATCAATATACACAACAGTATGACACTTTTGTAAATATAAATATAATAAACTAGAAAGAGAAATATGAATAATGTTTATAAATAATATGAAATGGGAAAATGTCAGAAAATGAAAGTGAACAAGCTCTATCGTTACAGTTATAAAATAATCACGTGACTAAAGATCAGGAGGAAATACAGTATTAGGATACTTTTTAAAGTGACATTTTAAAAGTTATTTTTATGTCTTGAATGGTAATAAAAGTGTCAATAGGTTCAATCTTTCTAAAGTACAAAAAGGCCTGGTTAAAATAACTCATTTCTTTTAGTCTCCTGTATTTTAGTTACTTTCCCACAGTTGCTACTCTTTGTTCAACCTAGTATATAAGTGCTTAGGCCTAGTTACTTCTTTGGGTCTTCATTTTTCTTATGAGGGCTCCCACGTACATGTAAATAAAATTCGTATGCTGTTGTCTTATGTCAGTCTCAGTCAGAAACCCTAAGAGGGTAAAGAAAAAAAATTTTTTTTTTTTAAATATATCTTTTATTGATTTCAGAGAGAGGAAAGGAGAGATAGAGAGAGACAGAAACATCAATGATGAGAGAGTCATTGATCAAGCCTGCAACTGGGCATGTGGCCTGACCAGGAATCGAACCCCGATCGCCTGGATCCCAGGTCGACGCTCAACAGCTGAGCCACGCCCGGCCGCGCAAGAAAAATTCTAACCTCCCCTAATATACCAACATTCTAATAGTAGTTATCCCTGGTGGTGGACATATGGGTGATTTATTTTCTTCTTTGTCCTTCATATGTTTTTAAACTTCATAATGAACACATATTACATGTATAATGAAAATTATACTAACTGTCTTTTTACAATGTTTTAAAGAGCCTACCTAATGTACATTATTTTTTTAAGCTAATATTAGGTTTCAACCAATAGAGAACATCAGAATCATATGAGGAACTTCTTAAAATGTGGATCCCAGGGACATACGTCCAGGAATTTGAACTCTCAACAGGTCGTGGGTAGGCCCAAGAACCTGAATTTTTTATATCACCCAAAGTATTTCTGAACAACTCTGTAAAAATAGGTTAGGACCAGCCTTCTTCAAATAGGAGACAGTACTTGGGCTCTGGGCATGGTCAGCAAAGGGGCGAAAGGAGGCTTGGCTCTGGGGATACGGGTGTCTCCAAAACCTACCTGTCAAGGTTTATAAAGAGAGTAAGATTTATAAGCTAAATTTTAAAGCCCAGTAAAGAACTGGGTTTTGGATTGTCGAAACACTATGCTGTATACCTGACACTAGTATAGAATAATATTGAATGTAAACCATAATTGAAAATATATATTTTTAAAAAGTAGGGAACATTAAAAAAATAAACTTGTACAGTTACATGCCAAAACAAAAACAAAAAACAACTACGTTTTGGAACTGTTTTTTAGAAATAGAATGCTAATTATTGGAACAAAAAGTAAACTTCTGAATGTACTATGAATAAAATGAGCTTGTAGAGCACCTCCAAACTCCTACCGCATGAACCCCTAAACTTCACACCAAATGGTAGCCCCCAGCCGGCCAGCCCAGGCCCCCGGCAGCCTGCTCCAGGGCGCACCTGACAGGCGGAGCGCGGCCCGGCCAACACCGAGGAAAGCGGGCCAAGGACAAGGTCCTAGGGGACAGCTGCACGAAGCGCTACTCCTGACAAGAAAAGATTCAGCGAGCACAAGAGCCAAGGGCAGGGCTGCCTTCTGCAGTGGATTTGGACTTTGGAAATGTTCACGAGGCACATTCCAGTGTGGTTAGAACCTAAAACCACGATTGGCCCCAGAGCAGGGCTCTGAGCCTCAGTCTGTGGCCTTTGACCCCAGCCAGCTGCTAGATAAAAGGGGCTGGGACGAGAACAGAAGCTGGGACTGCTGCAGATCCAAGAGCTCCTTTGCACACCCACTGTGACACACAGACGGGGGAGTAACGCTGTCCTGTAATACACAACAGGGTGGTCTGACAGCCTAGGCAGCCACATTCCCAGAGGCCCCCGAAAGGTGAAGTCTGGGGGTCATTTGTACTTGGCTGAGGCACGTGGCACAGCACACGTGGGCTGCACGTGAACTACCCAGTCACTGAGGTGGGCAGTTTAGCATCTGCCCTCAACTCGGCAGGTCACCTTCTCCACGAAAGTGCACTAACTCCTGCGGTGAAAGAAACTGGGTCTTTTTAAAAATTGTCCATTGGGTAAGAGGGCATAACGTGTTCCAAAAGGTAGGGTTATGTTGGTGACAGGGTGTACAAAGAAAACAAGTGACCATAAATAGCAATGTGTCTGAGTAGAAAAGCAGGAGGCCTGAATGAACATTTGTGAACTTGAGAACTTCTGAAGGTTTCAGGACACTCCTTGAGAGGTAAAGGCGTGCTCTTCAGCGTATCAACTACCTGTGTTCCAGATGGCCCTCCTCTAAGCCCCAGGGAACTCTAGCACTCAGTCACTGACATGTAACATGGGGTCTTACAGTCACTACAAGTTGCTAAAAGCCTCAGGCACAGTCCTGCCTGGTTCCCTAGGGTCCAGCCCAGAGAGGGGTGAACTCCAGCACTCCCAACAACTGGGGAAGGATACTAAAGTATGAGTGACATCCCAGATCAATGGTTCCCAAATCCAGTTCGGCAAAGAATCTACTGGACATAGTTGGTTTTTTTTAAATACAAATCCTTACCACTCCGGAGCAAAAGGAATGAACCACATATACACGATAACAGGGATGAATCTCAAAATAATTATGCTGAGAGAAGCCACACAAAAACAAGTATATGCTGTATGATCACAGTTATACAAAATTCTAGAAAATGCAAACCTATAATGAAAGAAAGCAGATCGGTGGTTGTTTGGTGGGTGTTTGACAGGTGGAAAGGGTGAAGAGGAGGGTATTAAAAGGGGGCACGAGAAAACTTTTGGGGGATGATAGGCTCACTGTCTTGATTGCTGTGAAGGCTTCGTGGGCATATACCTATGCCAAAACATACTAAATTGTACACTTTAAAAACTGTATGTCACTTACACTTCCATAAAGGTGTTTATAAAAAAATAAAAGTAGAGGTTCTCCAGTCCAGTTAAATTAGGATCTCTACGGATGGGGCCCAGGAGTCTGTTTTTAAAAGCTTGGATTGTAGCCAATCCAACAGCTCTGACTCGAACTCTACTCCCCGTGAGACAGGCCGAGCCGGGAGCCATTCTCTGTCCGTGTGCGCCTCCTTCACCCATGGAGCTCCTGCCCTCTCCCTTTTTCCTCTCAGCCAGTTTTTAGTAAACCTCTTTTCTTCTGAATCGGTTTCACCTCCTCTCTTGATTTCTATCCTTGGGACGGTGGGGGCAACAACCCCTCTGCTGGTGACACCCTTACTTTTCTTAAACAATATTTTATTAAAAGGTATACTTTTAAAGCAACTAACATGATTCTGATGCAGGCAATGACTGCCCAGTGTTTGAAAACTGCTATCCAGCCACCTGCCACATCTTGGCTTGGAGCTTAAATGGTAAGTTATTTCATATTTAAAAAGTTAGGGAGAAAAATTGTACAAAAATAGGTCCTAAGGTAGAAATAAGTCCCTGACATTTTGTTAGATGAAAAAAAAGCCGTTACAAAAGAGTAAGTGAAAGAAAATAAATCTACTTCTACAACTATTATTTCTACATATATCTTTAACCACTGCTTTCTGAAATGATATGCAGCAAGACGTAGAGAGTAGAATGCAGAGACATTTCAAATCCCTGGGTACACATTTTCTACCTCTGTGTAGGATTATAGAACAATTTTATTTTTAATCTTGAGAATTTTTATTATTTTTTGCCTGTGTAATTTCTAAATTTTCCAGAATGAACATGCATTACTTTTGTGATATGTGATAAAACAAACTGTTTTAAAAGTTGGCGGCTCCCATTTACCTCCATGATTGGCTTAGCTCTGGTTTTTCCACTATTGTTTCAGCATATTATGCTCATGGGTTAATGCTGAAATAGCAGCTTCTGTCTCCAAAGCAGCTCTAAAAATCTTGTTTTATGAAGCAACACAGAAATAAAATAAATCTGGGACTTAATGAAAAACTGATAGAGAGGAGGGAAAAGGAAAGGAAAAAAGTCAACCCCAATAGCCATCTGGTGAACTCACACATAGTACCATTTGTCCCAGGGAGGGTAACAAAAGCAAAACACACACAAAGACAGGAGCCGGAGAATCTGGGGACGCACACCAGCTCAGACTGGTAAGAAGACTGTCCTTCCATTTGGGAAGGGCTCATAGAGAGGTGCTCCATGGGACACACAGATCTTTCTAACGCTGATTTCACACAAATTGCCCCAACTGCATTCCTGGAATGCCTACCTGGCTCCAGTGTATCATGTTTTGTGACGAAGTCCCAGCAGGAGAGTGTGACATATACACAGCCACTCTAGACTGGGGGAGAAAAAAGTTGAAATAAAGAATTTTTTAAAACAGTGTTAAAGAGGCATTAATAATAAATTTTGCACTTCAAAGTGTTAAAAGCCACAGAGCCACAATCTCAAATATATGAGATTAAGAGCAGGAAAAAATTCTTTGACTACAAATATGTCATAGAAAAATATGTACAACCACACACACAGTACATAAAAACAGGGTAACTGTGGGATTATATGGATTGCAATAACTGCTCATTTTTATTCTTCATGCTTTTCTGAATTTCCAAATTTTATATAACAATTATACCTTACTTTTATCATCAGAAACAAGAAAAATTATTATGACTTCAAAAAATCCCTAGAACCTTCATTCCAGAATATTAAAACCTGTTTTCAAAAGGCAACATTACAAACTACAAATATATTTAGAAACATCAGCATATTGCTGGCCAAGGGGTTATATTTTCTAAAATAAATAAAGGTACACACACATATGTGTGAATGATCACTCCAAAATTAAACAATTATAATAATTTTTAAAAGAAACAAATCACTAGAATAAATATAAATATCAAGATGTTAGTGATGACAGATCTCCTCATTCAATACTTTCCGTGTAAGGACAATGCAGGAAGTTGGCCACGGCGGGCCAGGGGAGAGCAGCACATGGTATTCCAGGCACCTGCTGAAGCTGATTCTTGTGCCTCTTCAATGAAAGACCCATCAGAGTTCTAATGATGTCATTCCTACCTCTCCAGCATCCTCCAACACATATAAGCATATTCACAGATAAAATAAAATCACTGAAAGTTTAAAGCAAGTCTTGTTATAAACATACATACCATATTTAAATTTCTCTCATTAAATCCACACAGAAGAAAAAAGACATTTCCACAAAGCTCCTTCAGGACGACATGACTGCACACATGCAGACTCAGCCACTTCAAAAATGCATTCTCGGGAAGAAACTGTTGCGTCCCAAATAAGTCCTGCAAAGAAAAAGAAACCCAAGAACACCTCAGCATTTCATCCTGATACACGGGCACCCATGATCACTTCAGAAGCAGAGACATGTGTCAAATGTCTCCACGGATGGCCTCGGGGGAGAAATGGTAGCCAGTGGAATCTAATCAGTATAATAAACTGACGAATAAAATAGAACCAGAGACATGGAAGCATGGAACAGACTGAGGAATCTTAAACGGAAGGGGGTTGGGGGAGAGAAGAGATTAATCAAAGAACTTATATGCATATATGCATACTCCATGGACACAGACAATAGCGGAGTGAAGGCCTGAAGGAGGGGGTTGCCGGCGGGAGCCAGGTGGAGGGGGTCAATGGGGGAAAAAAAGAGATATCTGTAATACTTAAGCCCTCTGTTTACTAAAGCAATAGCAGATGTTATATATGTGTATTTAAAGTTTCAAATGAAGAAAAGGGGACAGAAAATCAAGTAAATTTGCAGCAGACTTTTACAGTGGGAAAGGGCCTTAATGATCACTTATCCCAGGGCCAATCCCAAAGAGTTTCACTTGGCTTTCGTGGATTAGTAGTGACTTCTGAGAAAGAGTCAAAACTGTGATTGGTCAGCAGTGTGTTCAGTTCAGTGGCATTAAGTACATTCACATTGTACAACCAGCACCACTCTCCATCTCCAGAACTCCCTCAACATCTCATACCGAAGCTCTGTCCCCATGAAACAATGACTCCCCGTTCCTCCTTTACCAGCACTGCCTGCTTTTGTAAATAAAGTTTATTGGAACAATCACACATCGTCTCTGGCTGTTTTTGTACTACAGGGGTGGAGTTAAGTAGTTGCCAACAGAGACCATTATGACCCACAAAGCCAAAAATATTTACTATCAGGATCTTTACAGAAAAAGTCTGCTGACTCCTGGTCTACATCAGTGCTAACCGACAGCCACTGAACCTGTGCCCAGGTATTTCGGGGCAATCACTGACCTCAGGGCAGATCTTCATGTACTTCTGCACCAGGAAATAACAGAAAGATCTTCCCTACATCAAACCCAAATGTGTCCCTTTACAGCTTACACTTTTGCTGATGCCCAACCTCTAAGAGGACAAGCAGGAGTGAAAAATTCACAGGCCAACAAAGGCAATTTTATGGGTTGAATTGTGCCCCCATCAAAAAAGATCCATTGAAGTCCTAGTCCCCAGTATGCCATCATGGGACCTTATCTGGAGGAAATAGGGTATTTTCAGAGAAAATCAAGTTAAAGTGAAGTTGTTAGGGTGGGTTCTAAGCAATGTGNCCTAGTCCCCAGTATGCCATCATGGGACCTTATCTGGAGGAAATAGGGTATTTTCAGAGAAAATCAAGTTAAAGTGAACTAGTGATCTTCTAGAAAGGGGAAACTCTGGACACAGAGACAGAGGGAGATCTGAGCACATACAGGGAAAACTCCATGTGAATATAAAGGCAGGACTTGGGGTGATGTTTCCACAAGCCAAAGAATGCCAGACAAACCACCAGAAGCCAGGGAAAGTCATGGAACAGATTCTTCTTCACAGCCTAACAAACTAACACAGGCAGGCATGTAAACATAAATGATAAAACAGCATGTGGAACATGCCACCCTGCCCAGAGTGATGATTAGGGAACACTGAGAACTGGTGATCCAGGAAGCTTATGTGCAGCGTAATGTGAGCAATTGCTTTGTGGTACATGGCTTCGTCTTTCCCCCAAAAAATAACTATCAAGGTTTCCATGTTGAATATTCCAATTTTTTAAAAGGTGCAACTAATTTAACTTAAAACAGGGCATAGGCCATATTCAACACTCTTTGGGCAAATTTGGTCTGCTACAGCTTGAGATCTGCCTTCTACAAGGCAAGCAATGAATACCTAAAGGCAGATACCAGGCCTCATTGAATGTTCATTTCCCCCAGATTAGCCACACTAAAATTAGCTGGGGAGAATCAGGAAGTAAATACCACATACAGAGAAGGTCACGGGTCATGAAAAGGCATCAGTTTCTAAATTTCCTGGCTTTCAGTCTACATAATAGTCACATGTGATAAATATATCTTTTTGAGGCTCTCTACTAAAAACAAGTTAATACGATCAGCAACTTAAATCACAACAAGCCAAGCTCTCCTTTTGACTGACAAAGGGGGCGAAGTTGTCTTATACTTCAGAATAATTCTGAAAATTATGAAAACTCCACTGAAAATTACATCAAAGAAGTACAGTATTACAAAAAAGGAAAATTCACCTGACATTTACAGGCCTGCCCATGTCAGTTCTGATGTATTATAATATATATATATACCTTTGTATTCTGAGAAAGAGTTATGACACTCAACGTTCATGGAAGCAATACATACTTCCCAGAACAGCAAATTCAAAGGTTTTATGAACATACACTCTTTCACTTTGTCACTCTCCCAGGATATTATAAGACACCCATGTCTGGAACAGTAATTCCTAAGTACCAGTTTGTTTGACCTACATTAGACTTATGTAGGGTGCTTGGCAAAACCTCAGATCTTGGACCCCACTCCAGATTTAACAAAACACCTCCAAGGTGGGGAGGGGGAGTGTGTATGTTTACAAAGCTCCTAAATCACAAATTCCAAGGATTAAATTGAAAACATTCCTCTGACAAAGCAGTTTCAGTTCTCAGTAAAAAAGGGCACAGGATGCAGCAACAGCAAATTAGCAACAACCTCAATATCCACCACAGAGGTCTGGTTTAACCAGAGGTGTCTGGTTTAATAAGGAGCAGTTCTTTATAATGGAGACGTTCTATGCAGCAGTTAAAAACAGTGTGGTAGAGTTTTATGTATTAACATCACAGCTCTTCAAGAGTGAAAACTGTAATCTGCAGAACAACATACACAGTTGAATACTGTCTACATTAAAACAAAGCAATATGTTTCTCTCCAGAAATTCACACACAAGGTCTATTGGAAAAGACACTAAACTGAGCACTGTGCTTAGTTTTGTGAAGGCACTAAGGGAAGCTAAGGTAGTTAAAGGGCACTTTATCTGTAATCTCTGAATTGTTTATAATGAAAATTGATGCTTCTATTACCCAAGGCATTACAAGTTAATTAGGTTTGAGAAAGTCACATCTTATCTGCATGTCTGGTAACCTATGCAGAGAAACCCATTTTATGTGAATCAGATTCTAAGCTCAGGGTTCAGTCTGTATTTCCTGTGAACATCTCTTAAATGGCCAGTAGATGGGCCATAGCTGATTTGTAGTATATATTCCTGAATAGGATTTCCTATCGGTGTGTGTAGAAACGTGTCCTACATAAAACTATATAGCGCATGCATAATGGACCATCTGGCCTCAGCTGGCTCTCAACTCCAGCTCATAAAAGCTGCTTCTTCCTTGAACAGAGCTTGGGGGCGTCACACAGCTCTAGGGCTAGGTCCCCACGAGGTTACTGGCTTGTGTTTAGATCACCCTCGGTGTGGTGAGGGCTGGGCACGTGGGAAGAGTGCATTTTTCTCCGCTCTCCTGCCTACTCCAATGCACCACTCACTGCGTAGAATAAAAGGCAACTCCACCAAGCTTCAAGCTACCTTCTCCCAGACTTCCTGTGCTCCCTGTGTGTGCTCAGTGGAGATCTGCACTGATATGTTAACCATGAGAACATGGGGCTCAGGTGCAGAATTAATGATAAACCTTCCCTGACTCCCCAGGATCTGGAAGTAAGGGTGAAGAGGAGAGGAGAAAAGCCATGGGGAGAAGAAATACCATTTTCCACTGATAGCAAAACATAAAGGAGAAAAAGCACAGATTCTGAAAGGGCAATT